GGGTATAGATGCAACAAAGCGGCGGAAAAGTTACGGGCGAGGGCTTATGTGTTGGTTTCGCAAGACCGTCCGATCCCGACGTGTTCGTCGGTTCGGGGAAGCCGGGCGGAGTGGTCCTGGGGGCCTGGGCCTTCGGGTCCCGCCACGTGTCGCCTGCTGGTGCGGGGTATGTCTCGGCGTCGCGGCTCTGGGATTTCRKAAATTATCGTGCCSRCTGCAATTCCTGCACGGAGCTCGCRGCCAGTAGGGGGCTATGRAATTCCACGGTACCAMTGTGAGCTGATGATAGGGGAGAAGAAGATGATAAGGCGGGAAATTAAGAGCGACAATGACTAARCCGGGGGATATAAAATATTGCGTGTTATAAGTGTTTGGGTAATCGGGTCCCYGTRGATCGCTTCTTATGGCAAGATGGAATTCCCTGGCGCATACCSTATCGCGTTCCGCAAGGCARGGGAATTWCGGGTTGCTCAGATTTCCTCGTAACCGACGTTGTTCTTCTTCCCAGAATTCCCGATATCYGAAATACKCGTCGAAATCCTCGGAATTCCAAGATACKCCGGAGMTTCGCSAGCTYGTCATTCTTTCATCCTWCACACCCTAGGGGACAAGCTGTTCGGGGAAATCACCGTCCGTAAGTGCGTAAGAAAGACGCGAATGAGTCGCACTTACGYGCACTTGCGGGCGATGGTTAACCCGATCCTGTGGGTATCAACTCCYGGCCTTGCGAAGGGCTAACCTCGTGCGAYAGATAGGACACAAATTACGGGTCCGAGTGGTCCGGACGCGTGTAAGCYGCACTCCGTTCGGATCGTGCTTACATGCGTGCATACGATAYGTCAGGTCATGCTTGTCAGACGATCATTGTRAGACGACTGACATCCAATCAATCATGCCAACATGCCATCTCCATTCCCATCCGATTTCATAAGTCCGGGACGTCAATCAAAAACGAAGTGCAAGATGTGCGCGGGTTATCCATACATCATTTCGCGAAAAAGAAAGTCCGAGAAAGAAATCAAAACGGAAAACATTGAGAGAAAACCAAGTCGAAACAAAAGACAAAGAGGACCGCAAAAGACAAGGGCGAGTCGCCCGTAATCGACACCAAAATTTATATACACAGGTGAAAAAGGAACGAAAAAGAAAGATGCAAATCCATGCCCAACTCAACCTCAACTCTCTCTCTCTTTTACTCTCCGATGCGGACAGTCCGTCGTCGCGCACCAACCCACGAAGTCGTCACCCCGCTTAGTCCTCCTGCGCCCGTCAGGTTCGCTCCGCGCCCATAGTCCGTCGTGGCCCGCGTCAACCCCGCGCATTCGGCACCAGCTCGTTGGGTCGCCCGACTCCCACTTCACTCACCTCTTACTTCGCTCGTGTGCCGACAGTCCGTCGTCGCGCAACCCCGAGCTCCCAGCAATAGTTAAGAGAGCAAGTTAATCGCGCAGCCGGAATTTATCACGTGCATGCATGCACGAAGAACACGGAATTACAAGGACGTAGATAGATGGGGGAAAGGGAGTGCTTACGTTTGCGTGGTCGGGCCGCGGCGTGGGGGACGTACCCAACTCCATGCATCGATCCGAACATGCGAACGCGGCTACCCAGATAGGGAGGGGAGAGAGGAAGAAACGAGGCGGGAAGAGTAAGGAGCAAGAAACAGAAAGATACAGTTACAAAAGTGTGCGCCCAAAATTACAGTTGCGAAAGGATTAAGGCGCCAATCAATCAAG